AATGTACTGGCCATCTTTTGGATTAATTTCATTTGTTAATTCACCTAGATAATCACCGATATCAGGTTGCCATTCACCAGGGTCATAAGAAATTTGTTCGGGATTTAGCTTTATACCCTCGTTTTGTTCATACTGAATGATGTATTTCTGTTTGTCGGCGTTAGAAACACACCATTCAGGCCACCCTGAAGCTTCTTGTTCTAATTTTTAGTGTTATATGTTATACTCAGAAAATAAACCTAATGATGATGGGTCAGTAGAGTCATACTCGCTTCTTTGGTGGAAGTGCCAAGCTACGTGTACTTTGATGAGGTTATACCCCATCTCTACTGCTTTCTGGGCTTCAGTTGTTACCCAAGTTTCATCTAATGCCCTTTCGTCAGTAGAGTGCGCACAAGAAACTAGACACTGGTTTTCTACGCAGGTGCGGCATAATGGAAAGGTTAGTTTTCCAATTGTCCTGTAAGGAAGGACAGGATAGAGTAAATTTTTTGGCGGTTCTATCGTGCATTTAATTAGGCCGAAATAATCATTTATATCCGTTGACATGTTTTTGGATGCCAATATCTCGGGTGGCCAATAAGATATGTTCCGTATTCATTACAATACGGATAGAGACTGGTAAAATCAATCTTCCACCAAAGGAAGCGTCCAGTGGATTAAGGATAGGATGAACAAATGGTACATCAAGAATTTTGTGTCGATGAAGATGGGATAAGGAGCTCTTAATTCCTTTCCATTCGTGTTCCCAAATTTCAACATACTCGAATTGGGGGAAATTTTGCTTTAAGAAATCAGCTTTTTGCAAAGTTTTTGGATATGAATCAGCCATCTTCACTCCAGTAATAGGGTTCTGAGAAGCTGATCGATAGCATTTTGGACAACCGTAAAACAGGCACCCCATAAATTCGAAAATAATTTTAGGTTCAAAAGATACCCCATCAATTTTATACGGACCAAATTGCTTCTCACCCCCGTTTCGAGCATGATGAATGTTGACACCCCTACGATGAGATTCGTAGGATAACCATTCCATGCTGATAAGGGAATGGTTATCAATGGTTTGATATCCCGATGGGGGAAATATTGCAATTGTGTTTGGCTTTAAGAAATTTGGTGGAAAAACATAGTTACACGCGTAGGCAATAGTAATCAAACCATTGGAGAATGGATCAACCCCTTCTTTATCGACATTATCGTTGAGTACCGTAGTTTGTTTAAAGATATGCCTAAAAGTTAGGCACTTTCTCAAAATATCAACATCACTTATACAGTAATCCACGAGTTCTTGTTGTAGGTGTACAAAAGAAAGAATCCTGTCTTCCAGACTTTGAAATTTTGTCTGGGTCATACATTGCAGGTCCCACATAATTTTGATTTTCACGCATATTGAACTTGTGAGGAAAGTACCCTTTCTTCAGTTCTTTAATGCCAAATGTCTTTGGAAATTTCGCGAGGAGCATAGGGAGAAAAGAAAGGGAATCAAGAAAACGAATTGAGGTATCCTTAACTTTGATAGAAATCAACTTCCCACCCCTTGAAACAACTTCCGGAATAAATAACACATTGGCCGTGTAGGCACTGCATGATAAAATAACTATCAACCCCTGAAAAGTATGAGCGATGCATGTTAAATGTTGGTTGTAAGGATACTCTTTAAATATGTAATTACAGAATTTATCACATGCATCGTCTCCGTAGAAAATTTTGGTTTTTACCCCGCAAATTTTGCATTGACTAGAATCTTTATCTTCAGTTATACAATTTAAGCAGCTTTTTTGAAGCACGTATAAATTTGGATTGTGAACCCCCGTTTCCTGGGTACATTAAAAATCGAAAAAGAAATATTTTTCCACAGACATTTCATTCGCTTTGCTAGTTTTCTTTTCAATCACTTAAACGAACGATGACAATCATTACACGCAATTGCCGTGGAGGGGTCTAATGAAGGAACGCAGTCTCGAGAAAAACAAAGTTCACAAATAAATTTACACGTATGACCTAAATCTCGGTTGTATCCTTTAAAACAAAAATTGCAAAAAAATTTAACTTCAAAGAAAGCTGTTAATTTAGTTATTAAGTCATAGTGATTATCATGGTGATATAGATAAATTTGTTTTTCTCGAAATTCGCCGCTAAATATTACCGAGTGTAAGTTATCCTTTGAAATTAATGCGGGTAATGCTTTCTGAAAACGCTTAAGCTGGGTTATCCCGCAAAGTCCCTGATTAACCCCAGGCCTGGATAGCAATTCTTTAGCAGCGTATTTCTGCATATATCTTCCGTGTCTAATGTTATCCCACCTAGGTATATTACTGTTTTTATCCTCAATCATGGATATCCCTGTAACGATAGCTTTCGCGCAGCAAATATTCTCATCGTTCTCGTCCTTAATTCTAATTAAACATCGAGTACCATTCTTTGTTTTATCTATACCTTTTTAATGAACCGTTCACGAAACCCACCACCATGTGGCATGGGAATGTGTAGGATGTTGAATTGAAGGTCATCGCCTACTAACAAATTAAAATGTGATTGTAAAACTTTATAAATAGCGTCGAATACTACTTCTGGTGAGAGATGCTCTCTTAAGGAAATGGGTAATGAAATTGGGGTGTCTAAGCCATTTGCTCTTATTACTAACCTAACCATATCTCAAGAACACTATTTTTACAAAGAGTATCTAAAACGTAATTAAAAATCCTAATAATTAATGGTAATATTTCAACTATCCTAACATTATCTATTCCTACTAATGTAACTAAATAATCGCTGGCGAATAAATTAATTTTTTTTATTGTACTTATCATTAAGTTTCAAAATATTGCAAAGCTCTCTAACATCTACTTCGTTGAGGTCTCTTTCTTCATCAAGATCATCAATCGCATCTGCCACATTCTCAATATCATCATACATCCAGCAATTAGTAAAGTATCTAACCACACAGCCGCAGGACATTCAGTGGCGTATGGGCCGGGGGCTCTGTGGTTTTCTGACACTGGGGGTCCTTTTCCGGTATTCCATTGTGGGGTTTCAATGCTGTCTCTTATACACATCTTAAAGAAAGGTCAATATACACGGTATATATTTAAACATTTTAAAATAAAATGAGTTTAAATTCACAAAAAAAATTAAATCTTAACATTTTTTTACATGCTTTCTTCACCTTTTCCTTGAATCTTATTTTCCTCTACTTCTTCTTCATCCTCACTGTCCTCTTCGTAAAACTGCTTGTATCCATTCTCCCCTGATCTTTTCCCCCATGATTAAATTTATTATGATTGCTCATTCCTAATCGTCCACACTTCAATATTTCAAAAACCGCTAGTTCACATGCCATCCTTATTTCTTCTTCCTTATCTACTGGATTTTCAACCTCGTTTGCAACATGTCATCCACCAAATTATTCTGAAAATGATAAAGACACTATTTATTTATTTATTTTTTTTCAAAAATCTAACATTCAACTTACTATAATAATAATAACAGTAATAAAAATACATTTCTTAAAAACTTTCTACTTACAATTTCATCATCAACATTACCTCTTCTACATTTTCAAAATCCAAACCGCATACTTGTTCTTCAGAGTTATTGATAAACGAATCCATCTTTGAATAAATACTATCGCGTAGTTTAGGGAGTTGAAACAACGTATAGGTAGATTCTAAACTGATGTCTAAACTTAAATTTTACTCAGTATATATATATACACTATGTTGTATAGAAGGATTAAGTGACGTTGGTAGCGTCGCTTCCTTATTCCTTTTATTTTATCTTATTTTATTAAAAAAGAAAATAGTGACGCGGGATATTCAAACTATCTAGTCACCGCGATGTAAGTGACCAATATCTTTCATCCAATAGAATTCCACCACCCGTATATCACGTTACTATACAGACTATCAATTAATACTATCAATGACACCGCACACCCTTTTTATTGTTCTATACCATTGTTTAATTGAAATTAATCCCTTTGAAACACCAACACTGCACTTCCTAAAATTAATTAACTACAGAACACCTTTTTTAGCCGGACATCCTTTCTATTGATTTATACCTATTGTTTAATTAAAATTAATCCCTTTGAAACACCGACACCGCACTTCCTAAAATTAATTAACTACATAACACCTGTTTTAAACCGCACATCCTTTCTATTGTTTTATACCTATGGTTTAACTTAAATTAATCCCTTTGAAACACCGACACTGCACTTCCTAAAATTAATTAACTACATAACACCTGTTTTAAACCGCACATCCTTTCTATTGTTTTCAATTTCAATACTTCACACATACCAACTCAAATTCATATTTTATTTTTAATAATATTTTATTTATTTATTTATTTTTATTATTTAAAGTATTTATTTATTATTAATATAATTAAAACAATTGTTTTCATATTATTCTCATTGTTTAATTTACATATTTAATAACCTCCTATAACGTCCACCCTTACTACTGTAATTTCTAGTCGATTACTAGAATCGAACAGTAGTGAGAACAGAAATGCTTCCAACAAGACATCCGATCGTAAAACCAAATATCCTAGGCTCATTTGATTTTTTACATTTGGTCGAGACCCAAATTTTAATTAATTGAATAAATGTAATGTGTAATTTTAAATAGGCCTATATACACTAGTGAATAATAATGCTATTACCAATAGCAATATTGTTAACCTTCAATATCAGAAAGCTGTTTCCTTTCCCATTGGATAGGCCTATTTTTAGTATCAAGCAAATTATTCAACATACAATAACCTCTAAGCAAGCTACTATGGTTAGGTTCACGTACATCGAACGAACACGATCAATGACTCAATACAATCGGCTAAACATTGCACCAATTTAATTCAAAAGAATGGAATGCACGCCATGAAATCGCCTCCATCGTAGTTTTCAGGAAGTTGAACCCATGACGTCATCATTCAACTAAATCACCAATCACCAATCACCAATCACCTAAAGATAATCTTTAAATTATATGGTCATAATACTATGATTACTACAGTATATATGTAGCTCGCCGTAGCATTCCAGTCATTTACCAACCTGTAAGGATACGTACAGAACAAACCAACATATCCATCCGAAAAAATGGCGTTACCACAATTTACAGCGTAAGTGTTAACGGCTTTATTGTTTTAAAAGCAAACAATACGCGCGTTTATCATTTTTTTAGATTTCGGTGCGGTACTTATGCGCTTATACGAGAGCAAAATAATCATAAATTATTGGATAGGTGTTTCCTGTGTTACCCTCACTGAACCTGTTAAAATACAGTAGAACCCCTAGGAAGAGGTCACCATATGGACCAATGGTGTGCCCTTAATAGGGGTGTCCCCTCAAAAAGGGTTAGCCATGGTGTTGAAGAATATACTTCCCTTTCGTTTCATTGCCAAAATACTGTTCCCTTAAATAAAGATGTCCCCCTTAATAGGGGTGCTCTAAGGGAGGAATCTACTGTAGTACCATAATTATGTAAGAATAAGCAGTGTGACATATTTCTACATGACTGTAGTTTTGTTTAGTCCCTGAGAAATTAACTGTATAATGTCCTATGATGATAGGCTGAAGTATGAAGGGAAGTTGGTTAATAACATCCTCCATTGTAAGCTGGTTGCCGTAAGAATATTGTACATTGGGTTTAAGAAAGCGATACTGTCTCAAGTCTCGAGTTGTGTCAGGTTAAAAAAAAAAAATTTTATAAAATGTTTGTAGCATTTTTTCCGATGTGGAGCTTTACAATTAACTATAGAATATGTACTTCGCCAAATAATATAATTTAATATCTATATTATAAATTATGATTTAAAAAACAAAAAAAAGTACTTAAAAAGTGTTCTTAAATACATTTGTATATTAACTTATTCAAACCAACTTAATGGATTTTGGAGATGGGGTGGTGCTTGCAGTGGTGGATCCAACATTTAGAGAGGAACCTTCACAGATAGACACTTAAGCTCCACCATGGTTGGGGCTGAGGAAAGAAAACTTAAGATGACCGGAAATGACACTCTAAAGATTTGAATATGATTTTCATTTTTTCTCCATTCATTAAAAGTAATTTTGAAATATTTACGGGGGCCCTGGTCGGGGTTCCCATTGAATCCGCCACTGCACGGAGGAATACTCTAACGCTCACAGGGGCGGATCCAGAAATGTCCAAAAAGGGGGGGGGGGCCGGAAGCGGGGGCCGAAAGTTTGTGTTCTAGACGCCCGAACATAACATTTGAGGCATTCTGGGCTATCATTTTTTTCTTTTTCTCTCTTTTTTTCCCTTTTCCCCCCTTTTTTTTTACCTCCCAAAAGGGGGCCAGGGCCGGGCCGCCCCCCCTAAATCCGCCCCTGGCTCAGGTGACCAGGGTTAAACCAATATTGCTTATTACGGGTTTTCAATAAAAAATGATATTCTTGAGAGAGAGAGAGAGAGAGAGAGAGAGAGAGAGAGAGAGGACTTGATGGTTGTTTACAAGATTACACAGATCACAGTTACGCCATGAATATCAATTTTAACAACATATTACAAATAAAGACCTGCATGGAGATATTCCCCTGTACAAGAATTTTGAGAGCACGAAGGTTACTATTTGCTGGACATTGCTAAGTAAATATGAAGTCATTACAAGTGTTCTGTTTCGGGAACAAAACCCTAAAAGGAAGCAAGGACGTCTCGGATACATACATCCAGCAATTAGTAAAGTATCTAACCACACAGCCGCAGGACATTCAGTGGCGTATGGGCCGGGGGCTCTGTGGTTTTCTGACACTGGGGGTCCTTTTCCGGTATTCCATTGTGGGGTTTCAATGTGTTTTTTAAACATGTTTTGCAATTTAATAGGCCTATATTATAAATGTTGTTAACGTAAAAATTATATGATATCAATGGCGGATCTACTAGTAGGAATTTGAAATTATACCACCTCAGACCCACCATGGTTGGGGCCGGCTGAGGTAAGAAAATTTATGATTATGGCACCTCCAGATGGCCAGAAATGGCACTCACAGACTTAAAATTTGAATATTATTATCACCCTTTCTCTATTTTCCCCACAAATATGACAAATCTAGAAGACCTTAGTCCGTCACTGGGTATATATGACAGGTCTATATGTCCTGCAGTAAATGACAGTGACACATTATGTTATGTATCAACAAACCTATTTTGGGACAGGGTGGTATATCGAGGACCCTGTGGGTAGGGGCCCCTAAGGGACAGGAGGCCATGCAGACCGCCGCACGAGGGCGCATACGAGAATTCTTGAAACCATTGAGTACATTGAAACAGATTTGTGGAGAACATTTATAAACAGTTATAACTTTGCTCATCATTAACCGGATGTACACGATAAAGTGAGTGAGAGAGTGAGAGAGAGAGAGAGAGGAGAGAGAGAGGGAAATAGAGAGAGAGAGGGAAATAGAGAGAGAGAGAGAGAGACAATGAAGATATTGCCTCAGTGGCGTATCTAGGGTAGCGATGCACCCCTTACCCCACCTCCAGAGGTTGAAAAAAAGTATAAAGTGTCCTTTTATAAAAATGTTAAAAAATAACCGACATAAATTTTAAGTATTAAAGTGCCATTCCCGGCTATCTGAAAGTCCAAAATTTTCTCACCTCAGCCTCAACCATGATGATGAGGCACAGGTGGATTTAGTAATTTTCCTAGTTTTTATGTATCAAAGTGCCATTTTCTGGTACTTACGTGTAAAAGTCCCCCGTTCTTAAAATGTTCTAACCCCAGCCTCATTTGTGATGGGGCTGAGGTGGATATAGTAACGTTCATAGTTATGTATTAAAGTACCATTTTCCTTCATCTAAAAGTCTAAATATTCTTACTTTACTATTGCCTTGCGTCAGCCTCACCCATTGTGAGCTGATTTCGATGGATTGGTAGTTTTCATAAATTTTAAGTACCCAAGTGCCGTTTTCGGGCATCTATAAAGTCTCAAATTCTTACATTTTACTAATCTGCGCCCCAAAACCAGGCTCAGGTAGATCATACAATTTATACTATTCAAGAGCTATTTTTGGGCATCTATACGAGTCTCAAGTAGGCCTACTCAAATTTTTCTCGCCTGAGCCCCAACCATGGTGTGGCTCACTTGGATATGGTAGTGTTTATTATCGTAAGTATTTGTGTCCTGGTCGGGCATGGAGTACACATACAAAAATGCACTGAGAAATCGGATGGAATATTATTAAATGACGAAAACGATAACAATATCAGTTAATAATATAATAATACTGACTAGACTCGTAACATTAATTCCCTTAAAGTGCCATTTTCGGGTACCTATTCAATTAATTATTTTTTTAAAAATTAATTAAAGGTAATTTAAGTCCCATTTCCGGGCATCTAGATTTTGCGTCACCACCAACTACAGTGGCGCTGACGTGGTGTAAACTTTCATTTCACCGGCAGCCCACCCTTCCCCACCCCACTTCCACAAATCCGGAATACTCCACTGTTAGTGCTGAAAAAAATAGTTAAGCCAAAACTTTAATTAAAGGTAATTTAAGTGCCATTTCCGGGCATCTAGAGTTTGCGTCACCACCAACTACAGTGTCGCTGACGTGGTGTAAACTTTCATTTTACCGGCAGCCCACCCTCCCCCACCCCACTTCCACAAATCCTGAATACTCCACTGTTAGTGCTGAAAAAAATAGTTAAACCAAAATATTTTCGTTCTTTTTGTTGTTCATGTGAAAACAAAACAATGCTAAACACACATAGTGTCAATGCCAACATAGACACATATGACTGAGCTGAGCGACTCCAAACTAGTAATCCTCCCTCCTACTTCTACTCACTTCCAAGCTCACGATATAACCCACATTCGAGTGTTAGTTATCGAATTTTATATAACCAGTTTTAGATGACTTCAAGACTGCACCTAAAACTATTTTCTGTACCTTACCAAGTTGTAATGAAGATTGAAACAGCTTGACAAATTGCATGATATTTTTAAATGTAACGCAATAACACAAATTCCATAATTTTCAATTCGATGGTAGCGTTATGTTTGTGTAAACTTAAGACATTATTATTATGGAGATCAAGACAATATTTAAAAAAAAAAAACAGAAGAAAAAAAAACACAAAAAACAAATCAGCTAACGAAATAATTTGGAAATGTAATAGTTTTGAACAAGTACAGTATACCACTTGTACAGTAAGCATATAAAGCCATACACATGAACTCAAAGACATTTTAACGTTTGGCTATTGTTGTTTTTTTTACAAGTAATTGTAAAATATTAAACCCCAAGAGTAGTAGAATGTTTTTTTTTCATCCTATCAATGGAAGTACTGAATACACTCAGTAAGAAACATCTGTCGAAGAATTAATTTAAACAGTACGTTGTTTTGATCGGCGCTCGACGGTAAATGAGACTTGAAGTCAGCAACAACAATAAGTTGAACCGCATGCAAAGTAAAATAATAAAGAAATAGTTAATCCAATTTATGGGTTAGTGTTTTTTACTCAGCCTTTAACTGGTCCAACATTCGGCCATGCCACTTAATATAACCAAAATAATGGTCTATCTATTAGAAGAAAAAAAATATTCGGTAATTCTCTAAATTTTTTCAGAGTTAATGAATTTTAGCCATTTATATTTCAAGGTGTAGCCTTTTTTTTTAGTCCCCTACAATATGTTTAATAACTAAATATGATTAGTCAAGTTACTTACCAAATAAGCGCTGCTCCAAAAGCGATCTGTTTCGCTTAGCGCCGCTCTCTTTAATTGCCACAAATGCGCTTTTATATATTTATAATAAGTGCCGCAGCGCTTAATAGAGTGTAGGCATACACGTTCCTTAGCTTTTTAATTCATTGTGACACAACAAACTTGTTGTTGTGCTTGATGAAATAGCAGATTTCGTGTTGTACACCCTTCCTACTGTAATATTGGCTAATTATATTTCTTGGAGTTTGATTAAGATACAAAATCAGTAATTTACAAAATCAGTAAATTGCATCGGACAATTCTTCTTGTAAAACCTGATAGTCTTGAGGCCTTAGCAGTGATCATATCTACATGTGCGCCTCAAGAAAGATTATTGTAAGTTTTAAATGTATCCAGTGATTAATCTCCTATAACATTAAGTAACTCATTAATCAAAGAACATTTTCCAACTGTTTATCTTCTAGTTCCTGAACAACTTGTTATCAATCATAGCCCTAGCCTTATTTCGTTTAGTTCTGCATAGATGGTTAACAATACACGCTACTTGCTTCGCCGCCTTGTATAGCTTCTCTATAAACGATACCATTTCGTCATTACAACGACTTTAAAAACTGAGGGCGCACTAGCATAAAACGTTAATGCTACATGCCGCTACACATGGATTGGTACAAAAAATGTTTTGTACATTTATTTTTTGTGATTTACTGGTGTTGAGATGATGTAATACAGTTAGGTAGGTCGTTAACAAATTCACTTGAATGAAATTATCCAGATTGGTTCTTAAATTAGGCCTAATTTTGTGGATGTTTATTTCAATTTTGATGTTGTTTGTAAATTTGTAATAGTCTGTTCCATAAATTTGTATGTATATTTTTCTATTGTTATATTTATATAATTTTCTACTTTTTGGATATATTTTTCTTTCTATTTTGTAATACAAACATATTTAGCTCTTTGCTATTGTTTTGTAATATTTTTCATACCGTAATAAATAAATAAATAAAAATAAATTTATATGCAATACAAAATGATTAAAAAAAATCATTATACAAAAAAAAAAAACTATAAGGCCTATAAACATAATAATGTATTATATTAAAATCAGTATTGCAGCATTATATCTATTATTCATTTTTAAATACAAGTTGACAATCATAGACAGAATGTAACCTCCTTCGCTCCTCCGGGATCAGTTACAGGTCTACTCCCCAAGGGAGTGAATTCATTTCCGTGGACGTATAGTGCATTAAAATTACGTTCAGAATGACAACGTTTGTTTTGTGCTACATTCTTTTATTTGATCAAAATAAATCACTAATTAGTAAGATTTAAATAGTGTAGTAAATATTCATAATATACATTTCACTTCATTGATTGATCTATAGCAAATTGTAACTTTGCTTCCTACTATTTTATTACACAGTAAAGACGTATGGCTTGCAGCACGTAATGAACAATGGGATGAACTTGAACGAATAATCGAATCCAAGCCACAACTGATCAACGAGAGCCATGTATGTAATAATTCTCAATTACTTGTTAACAGTTTGAAAGAAATGCTGAATATTCATCTTATCCTCATAGTATAATAGTTGTATTGGCATGAATTATGATCAGTGCATGCATGTATTAGTGGTTCAAACATCTGAAATTTTCCTTTAAACGTATGTCAAACCAAAATAGGCTTATCATTGCTGTATCAATAATTAAATTAAATTGAATGGGCTTAATGTTGAAACGAACAGATCGTCTTTCAATTAAACTCAACTTTTGGGATTGGGTGGTGGTGCCTGTAGTAGGGGACGGGTGCTTAGGGACGTCTTTTACTGTGTCTGTACTAACATTACCGTCCTAATTGCTATTCAATATGGAGCTTAGTACGCAAAACATAATGATATGATGTGCATCGGTTTTAGTTTGATTACTTTTTTATATCGAATCATTCCAAAAAGTTTATGAAAGTCTCTAAAATATCGAGATTTTCAATGCTTTTTTAGTTTAATTTTTATGGCAGTGCAACCTCTATGGATCTGGATGAAGCACTGGGCCCCAGTAAAAATGAGCCCTTCCTACTAATACAAAGGTAGTGGTAACGGTTGGCAGGAGGTATTGTGAAAATTATACTGTGAGGGTTAAAAAGTCACACAGTATATTTTAACGGTATTTCAATTGTACATGCATGAGTCGGGACTGAGGTGAGCAAATTTCGAAAAATGATACCTTGTTCAGAAATACCCGCTGGCAACCTGCAGATGGAGATAGAATTCATACCCACCTCAGCCGCACCATGGTTGAAGATGAGGTCAGTAAATTTAGAGCAAGGCAACTAGCTGAACTACTATCCCCCATCCTCCCCTTGGTCAGACGGATACAGGGTTAAAGGTAAATGGCGATAGAATCCCTAGGACATGTAGTGGCGCCAGTATATGCACGACGGGGTTCCGATGTCCCTGACGGGGTAGGAGGGAAGGCCAGAATGTAGTGTAGTCGGACTTCACTCAAAACCTCTCGGAAGTAATTCAAAAGGCGAGACTGACAATTTAGGGCAGGGGTTCTGAACTGGTGGCCCGCAGGCCATCTCTGGCCCGCGAATGCGTGTTATGTGGCCGACGAGAAAAAGCCGAAAATAATATTTTTTTTAACGCTTAGGCATAGATTTCGAACCTTATTAATTTTGCATTCTGTTTTGCCGACGTAGGGCTATATATTGTCCCACAAATTGTAGCGATTTAATCAATCAAATTGGAAGAACTATCGCATCAAACAGCAAAGAAATACTGTAACGTCCGATGACCCATTGTGTGACATATAACATTTTTACGCAAAAATATAGGTTCAGTATTGGGCGAATATCTCTAGCAGTAGTCACAATTGCTCGCTCAGGAGACCTTTGGCATTTTTAAGATTAAATGTCAATCTTTTACTATATCATAACCTTAATAACGAGCATTTGTGGCGTTTTAAAATAGTCTGGAAAAGCGAGTAATTTGGTACACATCAACTACTATACTTAGCAAAAATGATTTAAAACTCTACTTCCTTAGTAAATCTCGCAAGTTATGGAACACGATTGTAACATATGAAAATGGTCTCAAATCAGTCGTCATGTGTTGCTGTAGCCTATATTTGTTAAAATCACAAAAATAGTTTAAAAAGGAAACGACTGGTTTGAAGTCTAAGATACTGCGCGTCTAAGATCAAAGAACTAGAACACAACAGGAAGTTAATGATTTCTTCTCTCAGAGGAAGTAATTATACTTAATTTATTTAGACTAAATAAGACTTTAAAAAACCCCTAATTGTCGTAGTTTCCCTTCCGAGAGATTTTGAGAATGACGCCCGAAAACGCCATTTGCGCTCTTGCCGGAGATTCGCCCATCCCACCCCTTCCCCCAGTCTAGATGCGTATCTAGGAGTTTAGAAATGGGGAGATGGGGGTGGCGGTGAAGGTAAAGTGGGGGAGATGAATGATTAGGAGAGGGGGCGGCGCAGCTCAAAAAATAAGGTGATTTGAGGTAATTTTTAACGGGTTTATTTGAGCGAGTGTTTATTTAGAGGGGTGGGGATCACACACACACACCACTTCTCCATCCCCCAATTCTTCATGGACTTTCTGGCACCATCCTTGGTGCTCCATTTCCCGCTATTTGGAATTCCTGGACCCGCTGCCACTTGGAATGCGAGTATCTTGAATTTGCTCTTGATTATTAACCTGGAGTAATATACTTTCAGTTATTATTGCAGTATCATATATTACAATACAGTGTTAAAGACAATAGTCAAGATTTCAAATATTGTTTATTGGTTGGTAAAATTTAAGGATTTGTGTAGAACCGTCTGTAAATCAATGAAAGCTATTTTTACTTCAATCTGATTTTGATCGTTTTAAATATAAAGCTATTCAATAATGAATTGGGTAGTCCTAGACATAGCCTAAACAGTACGTCATATCGTATCGTGTGTATAGAATATCGAAAAATTAATGTTTATAATATACCCGCTTGCTATAACCTATGCCTTTACTCATATTAGATATGATGAAATGTGTGTAGGAGTCAACATTAAAACAATACATAGAACTGTACCTGTGTGTCCGAGCATTTCTAAACGTTTATCCTTTAGAATCAGTAGTGTAGCAGTTAATTATTGCTATACTTTACACTACTCAAATAGTCGACCAGAAATTCAACGCTGCCTTTTTATACTTTCAAAGACCATGTTGTATGTAAACACTGCCAAGACATAGGGATATTTTAATTACAGTAATAGTCAATTACGTTAGTTCAATCTGTATCGACTTTATACACTTTCCTCTCGACCGATTACCAAGAGATTTTGGCCTACCCAAACCATGGAGTAGTTTAGTTTCTAAACTAACTCATCCATGCCCTAACAACGCCGTAGCTTTCATATTCCATAAGCAGGCAACACCAAGCACGCATGCATTATTCATCTTATCAGTTCACCTAAATGACCTTAAATAGTGCCCTCTATAATTTCTGCCGGAACTGTATGGGGAAAAAAATAATGCGGCCGGGCGAACGTTAGCTTTTTACAGTAATTTTACAAAAAATGAAAAATGTGCTGAAAATACTTGGGTAGTGCCCTTTTTTGTTCATGCATCTTTTTTACTCGTAGTGGATAGTATTGGTAGTACCGTAGGCCTACAAGCATTCTGACATACTGAGATTTTGCATAATCTGTACAAAAGTAACGTAATAGCTAATGGTATCTTGTCGTAGTTCAAGTTGTATGCAAAAGAAATTAAACCACGTTTAAAATATGAAATGCGAACAATTGGTATTCCAAGCAAAATTCTAAATAAATGGTAAATGAACATTCTACCTAATGATAAAGAATAAACACATTTTGTTTTTAATAGTGGGTAAAATATACATTGCTTCATTTGTTACGATTCTCTACTCAAAAGACGACTAACTTTGATTTTCAAAATATATTTAAAAAAAAAAATTAAAAAAAAAAAAAAAAGATTCCGAACAGAACCATATATAATCCAATGATAATTAAGAGTAGGCGATTTTCTCTGAAGCCTAAGGGTAGAAAAAAAGTGATTGAAACATATTGTCTATACTTATATCAAAATAAATGTAACATCAGAGTTTAAACTATAAATTTCCTAAAAATTTCAAAACAAAACCTTAATTAACAAAAAAAAAAAAAAATAGCATAACACTTAGAGATTTTAATAACATGTGAATATTTATTTGATTGTGATTATTAAATGTAATTATGATGTGATTATCTTGTGTTTATATATAATATTTTGTGTATGTGTGATATTTGAATGTGTTTTGTTATCATCGTATTTTGTTGTTTTCTTAGGGCAGCGTGACGTCATTATATCTCATTGTGGTCTTTTACGCGCCTTGTGACCTCGTCGAAGTTTGTTTGAAATTTGCAACGAGTGAATGCGTAGACTACATGGACCCGGTAAGTAGAATTATGTATCATTACAATTACTACATTACCACGCAAAACACAACAATACAGGACCTCTATACAAAACATACTATACAAGTGCTACTTTACATCAATTCTTACCTAATATCGACAATTTTTAACATTTAAAATTTATTTTAAACATTAATCACAAGATAAATATGATATTTTGATATTGTACGGTGAATGTTGATCATTTATTGTTTAACTTTCCGCAAGGTTGACTATAAAAACCAACTGTACATTGCTTGACTGAGTTAGAGAAAAAGCTCACGACCAAACTTAAACTTGTCTGAAATTACTAAAAAATCAGCTTTATGTATGAATTTGATAGTTGTGCTGCTTTCACTGTAGGCGTTGCTGTGCATTGTAGCTAAGCAGCCAATTAACCGTTAACTCGTAATTCAATGGGCTTATTTGACTGGTTCATTTCGTTGAGTACGAATTTTCGTTGAGTATTATTTTTATTCGACTGGTTCATAAAATAGACTTCGTTGAAAACGAAAATTAACGTAACCAGAATGCGTTAATCAGCGTTAAGTTATGCACGTGACCAAAACAATATGGCCAATTGGTCAGTTTAGCAGCAACATTTGCGTTAATATAATTTAGATTAAATTTCAGAAAATAAAAATTATATTTACCCACATTGTTTTTAACGAAAAACCCATAGTGCCACAATCGGAAGCAGCATTGAGTACGCAGCGTGTATCGCGGTATCGTAACTATGCAGCCATTTTGTTTTGTAGAGTATTTACCAGTTTTCTATTTGACTGGTTGTCTCCGTTAAGTAGGATTTTACCACTGCGCAGGTGGATGTGGTTTAACGAAAAACGACAAGTCGAACACGGCCAATGCAACACAAGAACTGTACATTTCCCATATCTTTAATCCCAGTTGAATCAAAGTTAAATTAATAAAACTAGAAAGATGAATGTAATAGACGGCGCGACGGATAGTGGCAGACTTGACAGTTCTCTACAAAATGCACACACCCAAATGTCCAGCAGATATGCAAGTCTTACTTCCCCCTCCATTGGAAATACGTCGTTCTACGCGTAAAAGCACAGCAATGCCCAGTCATGCCATTTGTCTGCCGAACTCTAAAACCAGAACGCTTGATAGAAGCTTCATCCACTCGTCAGTCCCGATTTGGAACTCTCTTCCAGACAGTGTGGTGGGGAATATTGCTATAGCGGTAATTCAGAACTTCAAGTGCAGAGCACTTGAAGCATTTGAACAATGAATGAAACAGAGCCAAAAGCTGTGCAGTTGTTACGACATGTGAAGATGAGATAACAGAAAGAGTAAGACCGACAACAGTTTTACAAATTTAAACTAACTAAATGTTTATTATATAAATACGAATAATATAAATGAAATAATTCGGTACAAAATACATGATAATACTTGCTCTGGTTTAGCTACTGTCGCTCAAATTAAATCTTCAGTTCCAAATTTGAATTGTTCAAGTCAGGTTGTGTAAAAGTAAAAATGTTCAAAGCAAAATTGTTCAAAGTCCAACACCATCATGCTCCACACAGGCTGTCCCACGAATTGTCTTTCTCTATTGATCACATCTCGACAACTAACTCATCATCTCTCAAACATCGTTATTTACACTTTCACTTCTTGGACATTGAACTTTAAGATGTGTAAATAATTATAATGATGAAACTGACACTGGTAACACTTCCCCCCTTAAGGAAAGAAAGATTTATGCAATAAATCTTTCTTTGTTTTATACTAAAACAAAAGAAAATAATATTGTTGAACATATAGCACAACGTAAAAGGATAATACAGATTATAAGTAAAAGCAATCAAAATTCATGTAAAACAAAGTATACATTATTTAAAACTAAAATAGAATAATTAAGCAAAATAAAAATATATATGGTAATATATGGATTCAAAATTAATAGGTAATTACATGCAAATCAAGCAGAATCATAAAACTTTCAAATAGCAAACATATCAATTGTTTACGGTTCATGATTTAGACTCGAGACAAAGCATCGGGGACTAAGTTATCTTTTCCCTTAATGTGCTGAATTATCAGGTCATATTCTTGTAGGATTAAACTCCACCTCATCAATCGTTGATTATTGTTCTTCATTTTATTTAAAAATGTGAGGGGATTATGATCGCTGAAAACAGTTAGGGGTTTAACAGAAGAAGATACATAAACATCAAAATACTGGAGTGCTAAAATTAAAGCAAGGCACTCTTTCTCAATCGTGGAGTAATTTTTGTTGATAACGATTGAATTTCTTTGAGAAATAGCATACAAGATGGTCAATACCATCGTCGTGTTCCTGTAAAAGTACGCCCCCAGCACCAATATCACTAGCATCGACGGCTAATTTAAAATCAATATCAAAATTTGGTGCTGAAAGAACTGGTGTGCTTTTAAGTACGGCTTTAAGTTTGTCAAAGGCGAGTTGACATTGGTCTGACCAAATAAATTTCACCATTTTTCTTAGTAAATTAGTTAAAGGGGCAGCAATAACAGAAAAATTGTTACAGAATTTTCTGTAATATCCAGCCATACCAAGAAAGCGCATCAATTGCTTTTTACCATTAGGTGCAGGGAATTCAGAAATAGCCTGGACCTTAGCTTCAACAGGTTTAACCTGCCCCTGCCCAACAACATGTCCCAAAAATGTTACAGAAGCATGGCAGAATTCACTTTTAACTAAATTAACAGTCAAATTTGCTTCTGTGAGCTTGCCGAAAAGGTCCTTGATGGTCTGTACATGATCTTCCCAGCTTTCCGTGTATATAATAACATCGTCAATATAAGCGTCGCATCCGTCAATTCCCGCTATAATCATATTGACCATTCGCTGAAATGTAGCAGGCGAATTTTTCATGCCAAATGGCATTACCTTGTACTGGTAGAACCCATGTGGTGTTACGAATGCTGATATTTCTTTCGCTCTGTCAGTTAAAGGTATCTGCCAAAATCCTTTTAACAATTCAAATTTTGTAACATACCGTGCATTTCCGATTTTGTCGATGCAATCATCAATTCTAGGTAGTGGTAAGAGTCAGTTTTTGTGACAGTATTTACCTTTCGGTAATCCGTGCACATTATGTAGGTCTTGTCAGGTTTGGGTACAAGAATACATGGTGAGCTCCACTCACTTCGGCTACTTTCAATAAAGTCATTGTCGAGTAAAAATTTGATTTCATTTTTCATGTATGTTTGTTTAATGGGATTCAACCTGTATGGGTGTTGCTTCATAGGCGTGGCATCGCCAACATCAACATCATGGTATATCAAGTTTGTGCGTGTTGGAACGTCCGAAAATAAATGTTCATATCCACAAATAAGTTGTTTAATGTCATTTCTCTGTTCTTCATTCAAATGTGAAAGCTTCTGGTCAATATTGTTCATTATATCAGAGTTATGCAACTTTGCTAAACCAAAATCAGTTTTATTAATACATTCATCAGTGTCAAGCAATTCCTCAGTAT